GGTCTGTTTTATATCTCGAAATTATTCAGGAGATGTTTATTCGTTCGCAAATCTACTCGTATGAGTACAGTCCTGTGCTCAGCGACCTTACCGACACATACGATTGGCCCGAGACGGATACCCGCCAAGGCTTCCCCGTGCCAAAGATGACGCGTACTTCAATGGATGACGAGTAATCAGAAAATACCTATAGAGAAAAGTCTACAGATCGTACAATATAATTAGAACATAGAAATATAGCATGGTAGTAATCATAATAGCATGCATGCAATCACAGTAGGATTTTCACATATTTCGTTAAGTGTAGATTCAGTTTAACTGTAGGAATTTAGTAAATTTTTGCTATCTAACGAGCAAGGTGTGACATTGGAGCTCTCATATATGACATCGGAGAAGCAGGAAAACAATTAGTAAGGCCAGCTTTTACTAAAAAAAAACTCTGTCTATAAATCTATTAATCGCCTTTTAAGGAAAAATAACTCGCGAACCCATTCAGTTCGTAAGCAAAACTAGTAGAGGTGGATTTCCAAAAACTTTGAAGAGAAAGCTGGTTGTTAGGTTGATGCTTTATCCTTCCCACCTTCTACACATTCTGGCTTTAGATGTTAATGGAAGCAAAATACTCTATAGTAATTTACTCGTCAAGGAAGTTTGGCCTTTTGTATGTGCGCTAGTTTCTACATTAACAAGACGAAGTTTAAGTAAATAGTTCATTTGATAAGTTGCTATATGTTAACGTTACTTTTATGAGAAGAAGTTGTAAATAGAAAAAAAAATTCTATATTATCTAATGCTTTATTTTATAGGAGCGATTCCATATAAAAATTGGCAAAATCAAGTAGCCAAGCAAGTAAACTTTTGTTCTATGCGACCTAACTTTGGTGATTTGAAAATTATGGCAATCAAGTTTCCGCAGCGGTTTATGGAGGTATACCTGCCATTTACAATGGGGACGAATATTAATGACAAGGAAATAATTTCTTACTATGTTTTCTAAATGGAAATTTGAGAAGAGTCTAAGCGCATAATAAAGCTAATCCTTTAGATTTTTTTTGCAAAACAGTAGGGGGTTATTGCACTTCTTTAAAGAATTAATGACGTATTTTTATTGACAAGGGAAGGATACTTGGGTCGAAGTGGATTTGAAAGAGAATAGTGTAAAAGGAAACTTGAAATGCTGATTCCATTTCTGTCCTTTGTATTTGCAAAGCGTTTCTTTAGAAGAAGTTATGGACGTTTTTTTTAAAATCGCAAATGGCCTGCAGGCCCTATGAAAAATTGCTCAAGTTTAACCCCCAAAACAGCAGCGCAAAGGTTGAATATTGATGGAAATATGTCTCTATAATGAAATAACCTCTTGCTTATTGTTTTAGGCTGGATTTGATGTTGCTGAAAATTTACTGGAGAGCTGCACAGGCAGATTTTAGCACAGAAAAACTTTCTTAACTTCTTTCAAAGTAGTGCTTCGCAGATATGGAAAGCAGATTTGGAATCAACGTTTTAATTACATCTAACAATGATCAGCTTCATATTTTGCCGCTTCTGTCAAGTTATCCATTATAAGTACATTTTTATGCAATCATATATTGCAAATCTAGTGGTCTAATCATTCATTTCGCGTTCTATTATAATCAGTTAGTACACAATAATGGAAATTTTAGAAGTAAACGCAAAAATAAGTGAACCAATGAAATTCTGTCCAAAACTTCTTCAAAACAAAAAAAGGTAAATAATTCTTCTTAAGGATATGGCAATGTAAGATAAAAAGAGTTGGGTGGAAAAATAATGCTTTTAGGCTAGTGGACCAAGTTCTTCAGCTATAATTTATTTACTTATTGATGCCTCTACCCTGTCTTTTGGAGAAAAGTTGAAAGATAGCTTACGAAAGAAAATTTATTCATATTTGAAAGGATTAAAAATGACTACCAGACGCCAAAAGCTGAAATATTAAGCTTGCCCAATGGCAAAGCTCCCCGAATGGCTAAAGGGCAAGTTCGTGTAAAATCATTTGATTATCGTGAAGACGTAGAAGAAGTGACAAA